CCATAGTTGCCTTCTGCGGCCCCGCATTATCTGCACTTCGTGACCCCCGCTCGTTCGCGCTCTTCATGGCCCCATACGCATTCCCTTCGTGTCCCCGCTGTCGCCCTTCGTGGCCTACCTCGTGCCCTTCGTGGCCCTGCTGTCGTTTTCTCTCGCTCTCGCTTTCGCTCGTCGTCGCCGTCGTCTTCGACGTCGTCGTCGGTCCCCTGTCCGTCTCTCTTGGGGTCGGGTCGACGGTCCGCGGACGCCCCGCCGCCCCGCCGCTTGCCGGGGCCCTGCCTGCAGAAAAAAACGTATACCCCCAAAAGGGGTTCGATCGAAGACGAAAAGGGCGGGTATCGAGGTTTGGGAAACACGCGTTATTGGACACTCGAGCATATAAGGGCGAACAGTCTTAAAATGATTGTTGTTGTTGTTGCTGCTGTTGTTGCTGCTGCTGTTGCTGTTGTTGTTGTTGTTGTCGTTGTTGGTGTTGTTGTTGGTGGTGGTGTTGTTGCTGTTGAGGTTGTTGTTGTTGTTGTCGTCGTCGTTGTTGTTGTTGTTGTATTCTGATTCCTAAAGAATCATTATTGTCGATCCCCCCATCACCGGTGCATGCTGTTTTTATCTCCATCGAAGTGTGCCCCTCGACGCTCGCACCCTGTTTTTTAAACAGCGAAAGCATTCCTGCTGAAACTGGCCCCCTGGCCCCCCGGTTACAGCAACAACCGCTCCCGCCCGAGACGTCCTCGCATTTTATTCAGGAATCAACTCTCGCTGGGGACGTCCTTACATTTTATTCAGGACTCGCTCTCCCGGAGCTCCGGGGTCCCGCTTTCGCTGGAGACTTGCTTGCAACTTACTGAAGAATGGCCTTGCGTTGGGATTTCTTGCAATTTGCCCAAGCGCCGCGCTGCCGACACCCAAGCACCCAGGAGTCGCGCCCGTTGTGACCCCATGTGCGTGCCCTTCGTGGCCCCGCTGCCGCCATTCGTGTCCCCCTCATTGTCCTACGTGGCCCAGTTGCTACCCTCAGTGGCCCCATAGTTGCCTTCTGTGGCCCCGCATTATCTGCACTTCGTGTCCCCCGCTCGGTCGCGCTCTTCGTGGCCCCATACGCATTCCCTTCATGTCCCCGCTGTCGCCCTTCGTGGCCTACTTCGTGCCCTTCGTGGCCCTGCTGTCGTTCTCTCTCGCTCTCGCTTTCGCTCGTCGTCGCCGTCGTCTTCGACGTAGTCGTCGTCGTCGTCGTCGTCGTTGTGGTCGGTCCCTTGTCCGTCCCTCTTGGGGTCTGGTCGACGGTCCGCGGCCGCCCCGCCGATCAGCGCTGCCGCTCGCCAGGCCGACGGTCCGCGGCCGCCACGCCGCTTGCCGGGGCCCGGCCTGCAGGGAAGAAAGGTATACCCCCAAAAGGGGTTCGATCGAAGACGAAGAGGGCGGGTATCGAGGGTTTGGGAAACACGCGTTATTGGACACTCGAGCATATAAGGGCGAACAGTCTTAAAATGATTGTTGCTGTTGTTGTTGTTGTTGAACTCTCACTTCCGAAGAATAATCATTGTTGATCCCCCCTGTCCGGTGCCCATTGATTTTTTCAATTGAAGTGCTTCCTCCGGGGCTCGCACCCTGGTTTTTGACAGGGAAAGCCTTGCGGATCAGATTGCGTTGTTGGGCCCCGGACTACAACAACAACAACGGCTCCCGCCTTAGATTTCCTCACAATTTACTCAGGACCCCCGCTCCCGCCTGAGACTTCCTCAAAATTTACTCCGGAAGGGCGCTCCCGCTTCAGACTTTCTTACATTTTATTCAAAAACGGCGCTCCCGTTTGAGACTTCCTTATTCAGGACCCCTGCTCCCGCCCGAGACTTCCTCATAATTTACTCACAAATGGCGCTCTCGCTTAGGATTTCCTTGCAATTTATTGCAGCATCGCGTTCTCGACGCTCACGAACCACGCTCGCGCCAAGGACGCCCTCGCAATTTACATAGGAATCGCGCTCTCGCTTAACACTTCCTCGCAATTTACGCAAAAATCCCGTTTGAATGTCCCGCCCGCCCGACCCGCCCGTCAGGGTCCGCCCGCCCGACCGGCGCTCCCGCCTGAGACGTCCGACAATGTACTCGGGACCCCCGCTCCCGCCCAACTCTTCCTTGAGGAATACGCCCCCGCCTAGGACTTCCTCGAACGTTCACACTCTTACCCTCCTGCCCCTTCCTCCCCATCCAACCTCCCTCCTCCCTCCCCTCTCCCTCATATCCACCCTCCTCCTCCCTCTTCCTCTCTCCCCTCACCCTCCTCCCATAACCCTTCTCCCTCCTCTCTTCGCCCTCCCCTCTCCAGCCTCCTCCTTCCTCCCTCCTCTGTCTCTCTATCTCCAATCGTCCCCCCCCCCTCCTCGCCCCCTCTCTCCTGGCGCGTTCCCCATTTAGCCTCGTCCCTCCCCCTCCCTTCCTCCCACTCTCCCTCGTTCTCCCCCTTCTTCTTCTTGCAAGGCCCGCGCTAATTCCAACGGTGGGCAAAGAGCTGCGTGCCCCATCCTCCGAATAATTCCCCGCCCGTTCACGCCCGCTTGTGCAAGCCCGCCCGCCCCCGCAAAAAGGAAGAATCCCCCCAGAAGGGGGTACGCTCGAAGACGAAGGGGGCGGGTATCGAGGGCGTGGGTATACACGTTGCATGGCACGCGGGCAAGTAAGAGCGAATAGTCTTAAAATGATTGTTGTTGTTGTTGCTGCTCTTGTTGTTGAATTCTCATTTCGGAATGAAAATTATTGCTTACCCCCACCACCGGTGCATACTGTTTTTTCTCTATCAAAATGTGCCCCTCGACGCTCGCACCGTTTTTTTGACCAAGAAAGTTTTCCTGCTCAAACCGGGCCCCTGGCCCCCGGGTTACAACAACAATGGCTCCCGCCTGAGACATCCTCACAATTTAGCCAGGACCCCCGCTCCCGCCCGAGACTTCCTCGCAGTTTATTCAGGAATCGCGTTTTCGCTTCGGACTTCCTTAAGATTTATTCAGGAATCGCTCTCCCGGCGCTCTGGAGTCGCGCTCTCGCTGGAGACTTGCTTGCAACTTACTGAAGAATGGCCCTACGTTGGGATTTCTTGCAATTTGCCCAAGCGCCGCGCTCCCGACACCCAGGCACCCTGGAGTCGCTCCCGTTGTGGCCCCATGTGCATGCCCTTCGTGGCCCCGCTGTCGCCAGTCGTGTCCCCCTCACTGTCCTACGTGGCCCAGTTGCTACCCTCAGTGCCCCATAGTTGCCTTCTGTGGCCCCGCATCATCTGCACTTCGTGGCCCCCGCTCGTTCGCGCTCTTCGTGGACACATACGCACTCCCTTCGTGTCCCCGCTGTCGCCCTTCGTGGCCTACTTCGTGGCCTTCGTGGCCCTGCTGTCGTTCTCTCTCGCTCTCGCTTTCGCTCGTCGTCGCCGTCGTCGGCGTCGCCGCCGTCTTCGACGTCGTCGTCGTCGTCGTCGTCGTGGTCGGTCCCCTGTCCGTCCCTCTTGGGGTCGGGTCGACGGTCCGCGGCCGCCCCGCCGATCAGCGCTGCCGCTGGCCAGGCCGACGGTCCGCGGCCGCCCCGCCGCTTGCCGGGGCCCGGCCTGCAGGGAAGAAAGGTATACCCCCCAAAAGGGGTCGATCGAAGACGAAGAGGGCGGGCATCGAGGGTTTGGGAAATACGCGTTATTGGACACTCGAGCACATAAGGGCGAACAGTCCTAAAATTGTTGTTGTTGTCGTCGTCGTCGTTGTTGTTGTTGTGGTGTTGTTGTTGTTGTTGTTGCTGTCGTTGTTGTTGTTGTCGTCGTCGTCGTCGTCGTTGTTGTTGTTGTGCTGTGCTGTTGTTGTTGTTGTTGTTGTTGTTGTTGTTGTTTTTGTTGTTGTTGTTGTTGTTGTTGTTGTTGTTGTTGTTGTTGTTGTTGTTGTTGTTGTTGTTGTTGTTGTTGTTGTTGTTGTTGTTGTTGTTGTTGTTTTTGTTATTGTTATTGTTCTTGTTGTTGTTTGGTGTCATCGTCAACCCTGCAACCCACCCTGCGACCACCACCCGCGACCCACCCCGCAACCCACCCCGCGACTCACCCCGCGACCCACCCCGCGACCCAGCCCGCGCGCGACCCACCCCCGACACACCTCGTGACTCGCCCGCGACCCACCCCGCGACACACCCTGTGACTCACCCCGCGACCCACCCGCGACCCACCCGCGACCCACCCCGCGACCCACCCCGCAACTCACCCCGCGACCCACCCCGCGACCCAGCCGCGACCCACCCGCGACCCACCCGCGACCCACCCGCGACCCATCCGCGACCCATGCGCGACCCACCCGCGACCCACCCGCGACCAAGCCCGCGACCGACCCGCGACCCACCCGTTACCCACCCCGCAATCAACCCACATTGTTTTCACGAAAAAATCGGTGCCTGCGGCGGGCTCAATGCATAATTTGTGAAAGTTAGGCGCCAGCGGCCGCCTTCTTCAGAGCCTCGCAGACTGACGACGTCCTCGCCGCCCCCTCACTCTTATCCGCAACTGCGGTGCTACGTTATCATTATTGATGTCAATACTACTATTATCACTGGTATTTGCATTTTTGTTATTATCGGAGATATCGTGATTTTGTTCACAACGCCGACCCCCAGAGGTCTAGGCTCCTTCCCCTGGACGGGCTTTCATACCGAATGATTGTTTCACAGTCCTGGGGCCCGTCAAGGCCCCACGGAGGCCGAAAACTGCGAAAACCTCTTCGAAACTTGCTACAACAGTTCACCGTTGCCCTTCGCGCCGCGCAAGACCGCGTCTTGACTGCATTCCTCTGCAAATGGCAGCGGTCGAAGCCTCCTAGATCGTGTCCGAGTAGATGGGGTCGGAGGATTGCACCGAATCGCCAATGCATCGCCGGCGTGCAGGAAAGCGGGCGCCACTTCGGGCCACACCGCCGATGCATCGGCGGTGCGGCGTGATCAACCGATCGCATCTGCTCGGACCCCATCTGGGAGGCCCAGAGGGTGGCCTCCCCTGCGCCGCAGCTCCAGCGGGAGCGCCACCGCGAGCGCCGCCGCGGCGAACAGGGCCACCGTATGCGAGGCGACGCACCCTCGCCGCCGCCTCGACGGCCGAGGCGCAGACGACCTCGACGACGACGACGACGACGACGACGACGACAACAGCGACGAAGACGACGACGATCTCGACGATGACGACGATCTCGACAACGATCTCGACGACGATCTCGACTTCGACGACGACGAAGACGACGACCACGACGGCGGCGGCAGACGCCGACGACAACGACGGCGACGACGACGACAAGGACGACCACGAGGACGTCGACGACGAGGCGACGGCGAGGACAACGAGACGACGGCGGCGGCGGCGGCGACGACGACAACCACGACGACAAGGACGACCACGAGGGCGTCGACGACGAGTCGGCGGCGAGGACAACGAGACGACGGTGGCGACGGCGGCGACGAGGGCCGGACTTCGAGGATCCAGGGCACCTGCTTGGCCCCGCTGGTCGCGCGATGCGCGGTTACCTTCGCACCCCCGCTTGTGACCTTCGATGGGCGAGGTCTCGGGGATCTGCTGACCCGGGTCAATGCAGACCCGGGTCAGCAGGAAACCAAAAACTGCAATGCAGGAACAAAAAATGCAACGCAGTCTTCGCAAACCCGGGTCAGCCAGAGGGGGTCTTCGCAGGATCCTGCAGGATCTGGCGCCCTGGCTGACCCCCCTTTGCATTGACCCCCGTCTCAAGGCTCCCGAAGGTCTCACGCGCGCTGGAGGCCGGCGAGGTGCCCTCCCCGCGCGAGCCCTCCTTGAGGGCGGCCCTCTGAGCAGGCCTGGGACCCCGCCCAGGAGGCCCTCCTCGAGGAGGGCCGTGGCAAGCCTGAGCTGCATCGGAACGCAGCGTCGGAGCGGATCGCGGAATCGGACCGGGTCGCCAGCAAAACGTCCCAGGCATCAGATCGCCACGCCTGGCTGCGGCCAGCCCCGGCCGATGCTGGTGGATCGGACCGAGTCGGAAAGTCGCGGCCGCAGCCGAGTCGAGTCGCATCAGGCGGCCTGCCTCGGCGGGAACCACCCCGCCAGAGGTCCAGGCCGATCCTGAGGCCTGGATAGGCGTCCTCGCCTCCCTGGCCAAGCCAGGAGGGCGTCCGCGCCAAACCAAGGGACCCAGAATGCGTTGGGCAACATGTCCCAAAAAGAAGGGGACCCAGACATCCTCCAATTTGATGTGTCCAATCCGTGGCCCAGGAGGACCCGACACCTTCCCCAGGATTAGTTTTTGTCTCGGATCCATCGTTCATGTCCCCGGGCCCGATGACGGGCCCAGGCAGTCGAAATCGAGAGAACAACAAAAAAACGCAAGGCGTGAAAACGAAACATCGTCGCAGATCTCCAAAGCGGCGGGTGCAAACCATACCCTCCGCTGGGGAAACCAAACTCTGTACCGATACCGTTATTCCCTGGAACTCTCCCAGGGTGCGTTCTGACTAGGATTTCAAGGCGAATCCAGCGGTAGCAACGGCAACGAGGGCCTCCCAGAGGAACCAAGAAGGCGAAAACGAAGAAGGCTAGCGGTATATGCACCTCTTCCTCCGCTGACCCTCCGTCGCCCCAAAAACACAGATCGCGTTCGCTGCCCCTCCGCGAGCTTCGAGCCCTCGGCCTCGTCCCAAAAGGGGCCGGCGTTCCGCCGAGACCTGTCCCGTGAGAGGCCCCCCGCGGGGCCCCGAGGACACCTCGGGGGGCCCGAGAGAACCCCAGCCATACCGATGCCTTTGCGCGGCGCCAGGGGGGGGGTCCAGGATTCTGGCTCACATTCATAACTAAATGCCAAACAAGGCCAGTACGAGAACAAAATCGGGTGAGGCTGAATCGAGAATCTCTGAAATCTGGAGGCTCTGGAGGATGTCTGGGGCGCCGCGGCCTTCTCAGAGCGTTCCGGAACGCTCTGAGAGCGTTCCGAACGCTCTTGAACGGATTTAGACTCGTCCTAGCCCCGTCCGATAAGAAAAATGTGCAGTCAGGATGCAAGAGCCGTGGACGCCCATGCCGAGGCGCTCGAGCGGGGCTGACCATCGAGAGTGGACGAGGATGGACCAGAGATGCAAGGGTCACCCTTGGAAAGACGATCATCCCAACTGGTAGTTTTGAATGCACGCACGAGCTAACACAACTTCGCGCACCACGCACCGCGCCCCTCGATTGCAGTCTTCGGTGCTACAGTGAGAAGCGGCGTGTAATGGACGCAGGAGCCTTTCAGGCCACGGCGAGCCTCGGCCGCGAACAAATTCCCCGATCTAGATCAGGACGAACAATCCGCCATTGTATCTTCGGCACGTAGTGAAGTGCCCCCCAAGGCTCATGTAGCTTTGCGAGGTAGGAGGGCTTGTGGTTCTTAAGGTGTCGCAAGGGCCCCGAACCGCAGTTTCCCAGGCGGTCCCAGGCCCTGCCAGGGTGTGTCGTCTGAGCTCTTGGGACGCCAAGAAAACCCCAAGACTGACCAAGAGGAACCTAAGAGCTCTCCAATTATCCTTCCTCCCATATCCTCCTCCTCCATCATCCTCCTCCTGCCTCCTGCCTCCCTGTTGCCCCTCCGCACACCTTTCCTACTGGGATGCTGCGAACTGCGAAACTGTGGCTACTTTCGAGGGCTCCTGGAAGGTCTGGTGGACAGGAGTTACACGCAGAACCATAGTGAGACCTCGCAACTCCCTGAGTTGCTGCGAACTGCGCAACTGTCGCCGCTTTCGTGGGCTCCTGGGAGGTCCAGCGGAGTCGGGGCCTACGCGGATCCAGCCGAGACCTCGCGGAGCTCTGGGAGGCTGCGAAGTGCGCAAGTGGCGCCACTTTCGTGAGCTCCTCCCGGAACGAACGCATGGCGTAGATGAGGGCAGCATATCTGCTGGCAAGCGATGCGCTCTGGTGTATGGAACGGTAATACAAATCCGCCGACCCTGTCGGCGTGTGGAATGCCTTGCTCGTCGTGGTTGCTGTCCTCGTACGTACTCGTTGTCTTCTTTTCCGGGTCCCTCGCCGCTCCCCCCTCTTTCCCTGGGCCCTCGTCCTCAAGCGCGCCAGCCAAAGCGAAATGAAGCAACCCAGCCAAAGCGAAATGTTGGCAACGTAGTCGTTGAGTCAAAGGGAAGCCCCTTCCCTTTGATCATCTTTGATCCCTTCCCCGCTGGGGGGGGAGCGTCCCGGGGGGGGTCCCAGAAAGGGTCCCGGGTCAAAATACCATCCCCCGTTTGCGGCGTTTACTAAGGGATCCTCTGTAGATGCTCTGGAGGTGGGGGTCGCCACGACGGATCTGCAAGAGCGCCCCTAGACGGCTCAAGCCCCACAAGATAGCCCAAGAACGTCTAAGGACAGCAAAAGGGGGCCCTCAGACGGGTCAAAAGAACCCCACAAGGACTCTCAAGAAGGCCCGGAGACACCATATTCATTGATTTTCTGAAATGGTTATGTTATGTCCCCACCCTCCCCCTCCCATTTCCGTCGAGGGACCTGCCTCCAGAATCGGTTGCTTCTACTCGCCTACTCGCTTCCTCTCACTGCTCCACGACTCCTCCTCCTCCTCCTCCTCCTCCTCCTCCTCCTCCTTCTCCTCCTCCTCTTCTTATCATTATTATTCTTACTATTCGTCTTCTTCTTCTTCGTCTTCTTCTTATTATTCTTCTTATTCGTCTTCTTCTTTTGCTTCTTACTATTATTATTCGTAGTAGTAGTCTTATTCTTATTAGTATTATTCTTCGTATTAATTTAATGGTCTTATTAGTAATAAGGTGTTATTCTTATTATTCTTATTAGTCTTCATATTCTTATTATCATTAAAAAGTATCATTAATAGTATTACTGATATTCTTCTTATTAGTCGTATAATTATTATTCTGAATACTAGTACCCTTAGTATGTTTATTATTGTTATTATTGTTCGTAGTCTTATTCTCCCTCGTATTAATATGATTCGTCGTATTCTTCGTATTATTCTCCGTATTCGTATTAGTATTAGCGTTAGTGTTCTTATTACCCGTCGTAATACTATGTGCATTCTGGTTCTTAGTATTAGTATTATTATTCGTCTTAGTATGATTAGTATTCGTCGTATTCGCATTGTTATAGTCGCATTGTTATTCATGTTATTAGTACTATTACTCTTATTAGTGTTAGTCGCCGTATGCTGATTATTCTTATTCGTCTTATGAGTATTAGCATTGTTCGACTTATGTTTTTGTAGTATTACGATTATTAGTATTATTCGTATTCGTGTTCGCCTTCTTCTTCTGCTTATTAGTAATAATATTATGATTCGTCTTCCTCCTCCTCCTCCGCCTCCTCCTCCTCCGCCTCCTCCTCCTCCTCATCCCCCT